ATATATGAATTAATTACGTTGGTTGCAAATGGATGTGCGTAGGGATATACATTAGGTACATGTGAGCATGTCACTATTAAGTTAAAACCATCTTGCACAGTGACATACATTGTAAGACTAACACATTTGCCAGCAGACACTGTTTTATACCATTTATATCGGCTATTCTTGAAAGCATTTAGCAGATTATGAAAAGTATTTAGTGATAGTTTTGATTTGCCTTACACAGGCAGTTTGAATCACACAAACCTGTTACACTCTGCATAGTTTCTTGCTCCATTTCACAACATTCCTGTTCCGTGACTTGCTGCGAATGCTGCATTATTTCCTGATGATGCTGCGTTTGTTGTTGCTGTTCTGGTTGTAACTGCGACTGTTCATCTGCGAGCATAGATTCTGTCAACAAGACAGTCTGTACAACCTCTTCGTCCGTGGATCTCACATTAGGCACTGTTCCATCTCCACTTGTTTCCACAATATTTATGATGTATTCCTGTGTGTTAGCAACCACTGAAGAGAACTCAGCCAACACAGATGCGGCTACAGTACTGTCTTCTCTTGAATCATAGTCCTTAGAAGCTAACACCACCGACACAGACCCACAATCATCTTTGCTAGAGATGATATTCTCAGAGTTTCTCAAATCTGATTCCTCTTTGTTGGAAACTCTAGGTTCAGGACCAGCAAAAACCTCGGCAGGTTCTGCCGAAGGCTTGCAGGGGACTGCGAAAATAAAACATTCAGATTGAATCATATTGCGATATGTGCTTATCCTACATACAAGAAAATCCATCTTAGAATTCTAAAACACTAATTATTTATGGAATAAAGGGTGAAATACTGCCTTGCATTGTGTGATAACTGGGCAAGGACAGGGATGATGTGCACAATAAGGGGGTCAACATTCTGGTCTTCATGCAATACAATAAACATGAAATGTCAATACATGCACACTTGTATGCTATTACAAAATGTAATGTATTGTTAGCGCTTATATTTCAGTTACACATAAAACAAACAAACATGTTCGGGACCTGAAGTAAAGTGAAAATACAATGGATTTGATGGTTAGACAATCTGTCAAAATCTGGAACAACACTGAATAGTGTTGATTCACACACAATTCCGTTCATGTATTGACCTTGCATATCAGATGGTTTATCATCTTATGCTGTTCCAATAATCAGTAACACAATACCGTAAGGGACGACGTCAAAAGATCGATGTCGGATAAAAAACTTATTTCCTTTAGTTTGGGGGTGGGGGGGTTTTGACCTCAAAAAGTTTCCATCCTACAAAAACGATTTTATTTTTTACTGAAGTCAAAAAAATCTTGGAGTATTTGTAGTTGATTTTTTTTCTCTCCAATCATGGACAGAAATAACCAAAAAGGGGAAAAAAAAGAAAAATGGTTTGGTTCGAGTGTAAATCTGTGCGTCAAATGAGGTGCATTTGTAAAGTCTTTTCACACTCCCGACACCCAACTGCTATGCAATACTACTGTCCGATTATCAATTTGTATTTAATGGTGAATGTAGTCTGACGCCATGACCAATATTTATCAATTAAGTTTCAGTGGGGGGTAGGGGGGTTTGGAAAAAAACTGAAGGAAT